CGCTGCCGGGGACGGCTTGTTTTCGATTAAGCGCGACATGTGCGCCTTGTACCGGCTGCATGTACTCTCCGGCCCGTTCGGGCGTTGTGCACTGGCAACGATTGGACATCGCTCAGAGATGCCTGCTGCAACTTTAAATCGAAATTTATGCTAAGCGAGTGGTTTGCTTTCTTGTCGTTTAGATTGAAAACCATTTCGCTGGGTCAGGGTCAAGGACCGCGAGCGGAAAAAATGATCACGGAGGCAGCACGGCATGGCCAGTGGGTCGTCCTGCAGAACTGTCATGTCGCCTTCAGCTGGATGGGCGACCTGGAGCGCATTTGCAATGACACAACGCTAACGGATGGCGCACACAACGACTATCGGCTGTGGTGCACCTCATACCCGAGTTCTGTGTTTCCCGTCTCCGTGCTGCAAAACTCGGTGAAGATGACAAACGAACCGCCCAAGGGACTGCGCGCCAATATGCATCGCTCGTTCACGTCGGATCCGTTGATGCGCGACAAGTTCTTCACAAATGCTTTCCTTTTCTCCGACCAGGCTAATAAGTGCTGGCTGCGTGGCGTTTTCGCCTTGGTGTTCTTTCATGCTGTAGTCCAGGAACGAAGAGAATTCGGTCCTCTAGGCTGGAATATTCCGTACGAGTTCAATGAGTCGGATCTCAAGTGAGTTGTAAAAAGGCTTTACGAAGGGAAGTAGAAACTTCCGCGCCTCTATAATTATTCTTCTCCTCGCAGAATCTCTTTGCTGCAGCTGAAGATGTTCATTGCGCAGAGCCACAGCATTCCGTTCCGTGGCCATGTATATCTAACCGGCGAGTGCAACTATGGTGGTCGTGTGACCGACGATAAGGATCGTCGTCTTATCTTGTCCCTGCTAAACATGATATACAATAACAATACCATTGAAAGGGATAAGTAAGAAAATGCGCTATCGTTTTCTCTACTCATGTGACTAATTACGTGTAATCGCTTCGTATAGTTATGCTTTGTCGCAGTCGGGCAACTATTGTGTGCCGTTGAGTCCAACAAAACTGAACGCCATTGAGTACATATCCACATTTCCGCTCAGCCCACAGCCGGAGGTATACGGTCTGCACGAGAATGCGGACATTAATCGCAATGTGAAGGAAACCAATGCGGTAAATTCTAAAAAACTTTACTCGTATACACATATAGTATATATCTTTCACTAACAGCTTATTAGCGGAGTGTTACTCACGCAAACCGATCTGATGGCATCCGTGAAGGCGAGCTCGGCAGGTGGCGTTAAGGAGGATCCCGCCATAGCCATATGCAAGGAGCTGTTGACTCGATTGCCCGACGAGTTCGACCTCGTCGAGGTGTCCAAGAAGTATCCGGTCATCTATACCAATTCGATGAATACGGTGCTGCGTCAGGAACTAATACGCTTCAATCGTTTGCTGTCGTATATACGCAAGAGCCTGGTGAACGTGAGCAAGGCTGTGGTGGGCCAGATTGCAATGATACCCGAACTGGAGCGCACACATGCCTCGATGATTATAGGCAAACTGCCGGCGGATTGGCTAAAGAAGAGCTATCCTTCGCTCAAACCTTTGGGCAGCTACGTGAGCGACTTTCTGGCGCGGTGAGTTCCCCGCTGTCGCATTTCTATTTTTTTGCAGCCATCAATGGCATTGTATCCCGGGCAGCAGCCACGTCCTTTGCTGCAATTGTGCAAATATAATAAATGTGTATGGCACATATGAGCATTCTACCCGACTTTCCCCCATTCGCTTGTTGCTGTCCATGCTCAATACTTTTGCTGCTGCCATTCATAGCGAAAATCTTATTTGCCATTGACATCAAAGGACGGCGCTGTTTGTGTGCTCCTGTCCGTGCTTTGTGCACCCCATGTCCCTTTGTGTTCAAATATTTAATATTTATTAACAAATTGAAAAATAAGATAACTCATCTAGCAATTTTTTGTTGCGTCCAGCTTGGCCTTCTTTCAGGATTGGCTAGACAACGGCGAACCGAATGTCTACTGGATATCTGGCTTCTACTTCACCCAATCATTCATTACGGGCGTCCTGCAGAACTATTCGCGCAAAAATCGCTTCCAGATTGACATGATTTTTATTGAGTTTGCAGTCACCAAATTCGAGACACAAACCGCGCAAGTTGCCGATGTGGGCGCTTATATAAGGGTAAGTTAATGGGTTTTTCTCTTATTCAGAATATTACATTTTTAACACACATAAAATCTATATTTGTTAAACATAAACTCTTTAGGAACAGAAAGAGATAAATGATGAGACAAAGTTCATACAAGTAAGAACGACTTTGCGACGAATCTAAATTAAATTGCGAGTTTTTGTTTGTTTGTTTCTTTCACATATTTCGTTTGATGATTTTCGTTAGCATAAATGGGATAAAATTCATTGACCAAAATTCTTTAGTTTTCGTCAACGAACATCTTCTTAATTTTTTCTATGATCTATTAAAACGAATCACATTCTCTTTTTTATTTAGTTTACAGGCTTTTGTGCCTTCACTTTTCATCTGTAAAAATGCCTTTAAAATCTCTTTGTCTCAAATTAAATTATGAATCTGTTAGTTTTTTCACATTTTCCGGTCGATACTTTTGTTCGCCATTTTTAATTTTAGCATAAATGGATATAATTTCTTAAGCAATATTCTTTACTTTTTATCTATAGAGACATTCTTGATTTATAAACAGCTTTACTTTTTCTCTGATCTACTTGTATCAAAGACACACTATAATTTTTTCATTCTTTTTGACTTCACAACATGTCTTTAATATCTCATTTTTATTGCTCGGCCCAGGGCATTTTCATAGAGGGCGCGCGTTGGAATCGCAAGACGCGAGAAGTGGATGAATCCTTCTCCAAGATTTTGTTTGATACCCTGCCGGTAATCTATCTGCGTCCGGTGTTAAGATTGCCGGATGAGATCCCACGCAGCAGCGGAGGTGCCCAGGTGCAGCGGGACGAAGGCGGCGCCGAGACCCTTCCAATTTACGACTGTCCCGTGTACAAGACGAGCGAACGTCGCGGTATTCTCTCCACCACCGGCCATTCGACGAACTTTGTGATGTATCTGCAGCTGAGATGCTCCCAGACGGCCATGCATTGGATTAATCGCGGCACCGCTTGCCTGTGCCAGCTGGATGATTGAAAATTGACCCGCGGGCGTCCTCAGGCCGGAGTTGGACACGGATGTGCCACACCACGCGACGACTTTTTTACGATATATATATGGGCCAGGGGGCACCAAGAAGGGGAATGGAAACTGGAACTGAAACTGAGCTTGGGCAGGGGCGACTGCCTATTCGTTATAAAAAGCATGTTTTACTGGCACAAAGGAACGGCAGACCTTTTTGGGCACCATACATATACAGATATACTTTGATTCTTGTGTTGTATATATGTGTATATATATATATATATTTTATTTTGTTGTGCTCGATGGGGCGCTGCCAGGAAATGCGATTCTATTTATTTTTGTCCGATTTTTCGCGTTGCACTGCTTCGTGCAGTGGGCGGCGGACGGCGGGTAGTGGCATTTTGATGATGATGTTGATTGCCAGATATAAATTAAATATGCAGAATATTGTATAGCAATGGTTGAAAATAAATATATTTTTTATGTGCGCGCCATTTACAAATGAATAAATGACAAATAAAAACAGGAGCATATATTTTTTTACGTTTTTCAAACTGGTTGCAAATGTGGATACAATCACTTCCATATGCACTACATATCGAAAATATATAGTTTAGATTGGGCAAAAATAGATGCGTCAAGGTCTCGGCACCAGAAATATCCCATTAAACAAGATCGACAATGCTTCAGCACATTCTGAGCTAATGGAGCCCACACATCGCGACTCGCATCTCGACATTCTAAGCCGCCTACTTGAATGGCTTAGATGTTGAGACAGTGATAATAATGTTATTGTTGTTGCTGATGATGATGGTGATGATAATCCGTTTTAGCAGGCAAAACATTTGAGAGATTTATTGCGTGTTTTGTGTACAATTGGAGCAGCACACAAGATTTAAATTTAAATTGCCACGGGCCAACGAAAAGCATATTTTAAGACACCAAAAATTGAAATATGCCAAAGATTGCGATTTGAAGATCTATTATATCATCTGGCTATTAATAGACGCCGAAAATAGCAACAGACAAGAGCTTGTGTCCATCATCGCACACACAGCTTGGCCTTAAGCGTTGATCAAGAGTCGCCAAAAATGAAGAAAAAGAAAAAAATACGCAGCTGTCCATCAGACGATAAAACTGAAGAAGCGGCCATAACGATAACAACGCCAACAAAAATAATAATAACAACAACTTCCGCTTGCAATTACCAGGCGAGTAGGCATTGAGCGATGGATCATTGGACTGACCCCAGCTATTCATATGCAATACACTCGAACCATAATTTGATACAAATAATCGAGACTATCAAAGCTCACGGAGAAGAATGCAAAGAGCCCTCGACCATTGTTGATTCTGCCGAACGTTTTGAGACAATCAAAAAAAAAAAAATCAAAAATCGTGGCCGCCACGTTTAACTTGATGTTGTTGGTAGAAGTTTTCAAGTCTCGCGATCCATTGTTGACTTTCGTTTTGTCTATAGCTCTAGATATGTATATGTATTTGCATTATTAGTATCTTGTGTCTCCGAGAGTACAATTGATATGTGTGCGCGTCTTGAGATACATTTTTGACAATAGCAACTAGACAAGACAAACCACTAAGCGCGGCTAATGCCGGCCATCAATGGAGTTGAAGTGGCTGGGCCCAAGCAGTCGATCGAGATCGACATCGGCATCGGCAGCCAACTCTACATATGATGCGGTAGTTGCCGCATGGATCAGTAACCGGTTTCATTTTTTGGATCGTCTCTAAAGTGAATGGCGCTGTCCGCTGCCGCTGTCCGGCGAGAACTTTTCGCGAAATGCTGCGTATAAATAGTGTCGTAAGGTCTGGTTTGAAAACAGAATCAAATTTGGATTAATCTCATAGACACGCATCGTCTGGGAACATCTACGTATAATGGTTAGTCTGACCTGGCCTGGATCACACAGGACTAACTCAACTCATCCATTCTGCCTTTGCCTCGTGGCGTTCTCTTACAGAAATTCTTTGTTATTGCCTTCGCTGTGATCGCAGCTGCTGCGGCCACATCCATCTCCACGGAGTACCTGCCGCCAGTTGACAATAACCTCGAAGTCGCCGCCGAATCGATTGATGCCCCAGTCGACCAGGGTCTGCTCAGTGACGATGGCTACCGCTACAAGACCGTGCGCCGCCTTAAGTTGCGCCACCGTCGCGATGTCAGCGAGCTGGCCAACGAATATCTGCCCCCAGTCGCCGAGGCAACCCAAGAAATCGCTGTTGAGACACCCCTTGCTGATGATGGCTACCGTTACAAGACCGTCCGCCGTGTGATCCGTCGTCGTCGTGACGTCAGCGAATTGGCCAACGAATACCTGCCCCCAGTTGAGCAGGCCGTGATCGATGTGCCCGCAGAGCCCACCATATTGGCCGATGATGGCTACCGCTACAAGACTGTGCGTCGCCTGAAGCTCCGTCGCCACTAAAGCCCCCGCACCCAGGAATCGAGTTTGCCAGAAACAAGGCTATGGCAATCTTATTTGAAGTAAACGCAAGCGTATTAGTCAATGAGAACGAGTTATGAATAGTCCGAGTACAAAAAATAAGACAACAATAAAACATGTAAAAGAAAAACAAATACATTTCTGCCTTTTATCTCTGCACTCCAGTTGCATTGCGCAAACTCAGAAGATTGTGCGTCCTCGCTTATCTTATCTTATCTGAAACTGGCAATTTAATACCGTCAGAGGTCTGTAGATAAGATACACGCACCTGTAGCTCGGCAAAATCATTCAGCATATTTCAGTTTCATTTTACAATTAGCGACGAACACGATACAAAACTCAACGACTACGACGAAAATGATGTGGCCCAAGAAGTGCTCCACCTACCTGGTGATATGTTTGGGTAAAGTTTTGCCAGTGAATGTGATATGATTTGATGCCTACTCTGTGAACTAATGATAGATATTGTGTGCTTAAATCCAGTAAAAACATCACCTAAGTCCAGTCAAAATATACAAAGAATAATGTGAATTTTTCTAAAGAGTTTATCGAAATTATTTTGTGCTTTAATAGAGAACCTTCTATTGAACTGAAGGATTATTCATAATAGATTTAAGAATATTCATGAAGAAAATGTACTTTAACTTTTAAGAACAAAACATCGAGAATGTGGAAACAGGAAATCTAATAAGTTTGTGAGTTGCAACAAAGTGCACACAAATTGTATAAAGTGCTAATGACTAAGCCCCAACAGGGGAGCATATCTTTTTATGAGTAACAAAACTGTAGAGTGTATGTCTCACAAATAGAGTCCACAATTTGTGTAGACTCTACAAAAATGTGCGCTTATCAGTTGCCTTGCGATATAACCAAACGCTGATAAAGTTGGTTTACTCATCGTTGACCCAATCGTGTTTGTTTGCCATGAGTAATGGGCACAGGTTAAATTAGGCACAAAAACATCTTCATTGTAAATTTATAACATCTAGATGCACGGCAGATAATTTGCCAGACTAAAATTGATTACAGTTTACGCTGAACATTTACCAATTTAGTTGATAAATATTTTATTTGCTTAAAGCTTAATGTAATACACCGCTGCTAATGCCGGATGTGGCCTAAGTTCAATAATTATTACACCGTATAAATTATAAAATACACTGGCAAAACAATTATTTTTGGTTAACCGGTTGGCCATTGTATATTGGTGGCGGTGTCTGGATTTCCTTTTAGAACAAATATTTTATTTGTTTAAAATTAAATTTCAAAAGGCGAACACATTTAGCTTAAATGTCCACCAAAATCATATGGAGAATCTAGACAAAAAGTCGAACAAAACAAGAAGAATAATCGAAACTGACATCCGCAATGAAACAATAGCAGATTATATGCCAAAATAGGGAACCCCCCTCAATCAGCAACCCGCTCGCGCGCTGAGCTCAAACTGATTTATCATCGAACTAAGAGCGCGCGCGCGCATATATCAATTTTTTTATGTGTTCGCTAATCATATTTTGCTTTTCGCTTTGCTGTTAAATATTTTCTCAATAATTAATTATTAATATTTAAACAAGTCGGCGAGTAAATAACAAGCACGCCAGTTCCCATCCGTTTGATGAATGTTCAACCGTCGCTTTCAATGAGTTCCGTTCTAGCGACTCGCTCCGTTTGATGGACCACACACACAGCGCGTTCATCAAATATTTATTTGTTTTTCTGTCTTTTTTTTGCGTATTCGACAAGGTGTTAAATAAATTTTTGTTATTTTCGATTTGCTTACAGTTCTACTGGCATGCTTCATGCAGGAAACGGAGGCCACGCGACGCGTGAATCGCGGACGACGCACTCTCACACGCAGATACTTTTGTAAGTCAACCAAAATATGTACCAGAAAGTGAGAACATTTAATCAAAATTTAGTACATAGTGCAATTAGTAATCTATACTTAAATTCTCTTTTGTTTTATAAAGAACAAGTTTTAAACACTAGGAAAAACTATGTAGACTATGCAACTATGCAAAGTCACTTTGGTTGCCACTAAATGCTTCTAATGGTTAGTCAACTGCTAAGGAATACGCAGCTTCATTTAAACTACATTTTATTAGATGTTCTTACATATACTAGATAACTCTTGGAATAAAATGATATACTAAAACAATCCCAATCTGCTTGTTTTACAGCTGGACTTGCCATACCCGGCTGGGCTGTGGTTGCCTGCGTCGCTGTGGCTGAGCTGCTGCTGGGCGCTGCTCTCTACTTTGCCATGTACAAGATCATATTGGACAAGGAGCCGGAGCAGGCGAGCACCTATACGCCCGCCCCGACGCACGATTCGTCGGCGGGCGTGCAGCCGGCACACACCGTGCAGCCCGACACAACACACACTGTGCAGCCCGTGCAACCTGTACAGGTGGCGCCAACGCATGCCACAAGCATTGCCTAGAAGCCGGAAGTGCTATAGCTCTTGCAATTGACTAAACTAAACAATACCAAAGTAGACATAAATATACAAATCTACGTGACACGTTCCGTATATTCTTTGAGTTTTTTATTATACCCTTGTTTTATTAATAAATCGAATAAACTTTTGTTACAAATAAAATGTAAATCGCGTGGCCATCTAATCTAATCGCCCGGCTGGCGCTTTGTTTGTTTGGAGCTTCTTCAGTTAGCTTGGCTTTTGATATTTTTATTGATGCTATTTGTGATCCAGTTTGTCTTCTAATCTATATATATATATACTCACATATATGCATGTGTATCGTCTCTAAGCGACCGATTGAAAGTTGTCTTATCTATTAATTGAGGTGCTTTTTGTTGTCAACTGAAACTGGTCTTTGCTCGACTGACTCTGGCCTAAGCCATGGCATAAGTTGCGGATGCAGGAAAAATTGACGTCAAGTTTGCGCAATTCATGGCAGACTTTTGAGCGCCACTATAAATTATAGACACATATCAGAGATGACACATCAGCTAGTTTTTAGCTGAATATTTTTTATCAAGCCTGGTGAGCTCATAGTTGCGAATGCATTTCTTTTAACAAGCAATAAGAAGTTTAGTCAAGTTTTCTTTGAATTCTTACCCAAAATCAGTAATTGTTCAATAATATTTTCTATAAATCTTTGAAAAAAAAGTTTGAATGAAAACCCAAATAAATTGCATATCATTTATATTAATTTGTCTGTCAATCTTTACGGGGCCATTTTATTAAGATCGAACTCAAGAGTCACATGCTAGTCTTAACATTTTCTACTAAAAGAAATTACTCGTACATATATTTTCATTACAACAAAGCCAAGCCTGGTTGGGTTCCTTAATAAGTTGTCTCCTCTGTCGCCTAATCATTATTATTATTGCCTTTTCTTCGTGCATAATATTCAAATAAAACAAACAAATTAAAATCTCGCTATTAAATTACCTACCTTCTCGCTAGCCTCAGTCAACTCTTTTCTAAGCATCTTTTCTGCATCTGTGACAGTTTGGCTGAGCAACACTGATCCGTGGGAGGAACATCTCCCGATACTGATGCCACTTGCGGTGGGTACTCGACGGCACTTGGCTGCAAAACGAACGCAAGTTGCCCGCTTTGCGCTGACAAATCGAAATTTGTTATAAACGCAATTGATAAATCCCCGAGCGGCACTTGAGCTACAGCTGAAGCTGAAGCTGGAGAAGAGTACGCGCTGCCATGGCAGCCAAGTAGCTGTGAATGCTAACAATTGCCGCAGCGCAAAGCTTTTGCTATGGCAACACGACATCGTGCCGACATTCATGGGTAACGGAGGGCCAGCAGGGCGTGGCTGGTGGAGCTGCCGCTGCAGCCGCATAACCAAAGCGGATTTCAAATTGACACAAAACAGACAAAAAGCAAATCGTTTAGGCGCAGCCACCCGCAGAAGCAGAAGCAGCAGCAGCCACAATAGCAGGCTAGACCACACACATGCAGGCACTGGGGCAGAGACTGGGGGCCAGTCGAAATTTGTGTAACGGAGCCAAGTTCCCAAAAAGCCCCCCAAAGAGGGCAAAGCCGGCGATACAAATACCAGCAAAGCCAGCCAGGCAGCGAGAGCCTGAAGGATACTTTGGGTCGGCATAACAAAGCCACACAAAAGACTTGCCCCCGCACGACGACGACGCTGACGATGTTGGCTCTTCTCCTTGTTGCTCCTATTAGAAAGGGATGCTGCTGCTGTTATGGTAGAAGCTGCAGCGCGTTTAAAGAAAATAGCCAAACTTGTTTTTACAGTCGCTTTCGCGGACAAGTGCTTGCATGACGCTTTATACATCTGCTTTTCTCTTTACTATATACGATTTTCTCTCTAACGTTATCACTAAGCATAAAAATTTGGCTATTGGAATTGAACTGGCGATTTTCCGTAGCGCTCATACACCTCAACCACGAAGTCAGCTTTTATGGTCACATTGATGTATGTTTTTTGTTAAAATGCAGTTTTCAGTTTCCTTTTACCCTGAGGCTGAGTTTCCTAATACTTCATCTTAGTCAATTTTGATCAAAGAACATGTTCGTAGCCCTTACAACTGTGCATTAAGTCATAACAGACTCTTTTATATATGAAAATGCATTGTTGGACATCTACCGATATCTTGAAAACAAAAAAACAAAAGTTTTCGACAACAAATTCTTTTTCACAGATTGATATGACAATCTACATAGTACCTAATCATAGTAGACTAATCCAAATAGACTTTCAAAATTAAGCTTAACGCGGAAAACGAGGGTAGTTTACCCTCGACTAAATAAGACCTTTATTGGTGCATTGTAGACTATGTACCATTCTCTTCAAAACTCAAAAGGTTGATATAAAAAGTTTTAAGCTCGATTAAGTTCGATTTGCGAATCGGACAGAACGAACATCTTAGTTTGAATACACTCAGTGAGACCATTACTTGTCCTTTAGCGACCACATTCCACTGTCTTTGGAACCCAAAAGATCAAGAAAGAATCCTCAGCTCGATTTGGTTCTTTGGTAAGAGAACTCGGGAAGAGCGAACATGTGATCATTTAGAGAATCTGTGGCAGTCTTTATATAGGAAAAATTAATCAGCTCTAAAAAAAAATATATATAGTTAATAGCCTCAAAGCTTCCTTCTTCTAGACCTTACACATTTAACATTACATGACTTAAACTAGGGTAAAAAATTTAGCTAAATTAACGCTTAAAGTAAGGCACGGTAGCTCGGAATACCCTTTGTTTGTCTCTGCCTAGCTGTGTATGTGTCTCTCTGAGCTGGTAGTGTTAAAGTTTATCAACATATCGTCAACATTGCTACCGGCCCCCGTTGCAATGTCAGGGAAGACTCGCTCATATTTATTTATGGCTCAGCATAAACCCACAAGCATACATATATTCTTGTTAGCCCCATACTGACCACGAGCCGTGCGAAGATGGGCGCTGGGGGGGCTGGGACGGCTGCATCTTGGAGCAGAGCAGCAGCTGACAGTTTGGCAGCCGTTTTACAATGTTATCAATTTTTGTAGCCGTTGTTGTTTGTTGTTGGTGTGCTTTGGCCCGGATTTAGCCATGTACACTTGTTGTAAACAGCAACATTAACAAGGGTTTGCTTCAGCCTTCAGCGAGACGCGAGGGGCAGGTGCAAGAGTTACGGGGGAGGGGTACACAGCGCACACTCATAAGCATTCATTGGAAATCCTTTTCGATTTATTTGCGTATTCAAACGGAAACATTTAAAGTGATTGCGGATGCAAATTTTGCCAAGTATGTAGCGTAGGCAGCCGGAGCAATACACACACACAAAACGTAGAACCAAATGGCTCTGATATAGTACACCAAGTTCCACTTCTGGCCCGCCACCCCTTCAGTTACCAACTACCCTGCTGTTGCTTTGCTTTTACTTTTTCTTTTTTAGGATTTTTTTTGCTCGGTTTCACAGATCTGAAAGCGTTTACCAGCGCGTGCCTGGCAACATTTGCGGTTTTTGCGCCAACTTCACACATTTTCTTATGTCGGTTTCTCGATTTGCTTTGCTCTGCTTTGCTTTGCTATTTTTTTTTTTATTTATTATTGTTGCCCTGCCATGAGAATTTCAATTTTTAGCACAGGTGCTTGTGTTTGTTGAAAAAATAAATATCAATCATACGCCCCAGCAGCCCCACACCAAAGCAGCAGCTGCCTTCCCCCTTTTTGGCTTGCGACAAGTTATTTTATTTGAGTTTATTTTTGTTTTAGCGCGCACTTTTTAATTTTTATACTATTTTCTTTGGTAATTAGTTAAATTTTGTTGATTTTTTTCGTTAGTCCATTATATAAATGCTATTAATATACGAGAGAGCAGTTCGCAGAGATGATATAGGTAGAAATAATTAAAAACAAATATGAGAAATTAACAAAAATGCTTCGGTTTGAAAACACAAGCTAAGGTTTATGTATTATTGTCTTAGCCGAAGGCCATAGATTCCATAGAATAATATTAAGAAATTTAATTAAATATTCTATATGTACAACATAATTATTTTTGAGTAGAAAGTGACCACTTGGACAGGGCTTTAGAAAATTTAACTTTTTCGTAAGAGAATGTAATTAAACTTTGTATGAAAAAATATTTCTGATAAAACTCCCCGCTATAGATAGATGACTATAAATAAAATGTACTATTAAAACCGCTCGATGTAAATAAAAGGGCTTTAATCTCGGCCAATTAAATACATTTTTATGTTTTCCCTCTAGTCCAATGTAATATTGGATGTATTATTGTCTTAGTAGATGCCAATAATAATAAAAAATATACATATTAAATGTTCAATATATACAAGAGAATTTTTCCTGATCCAATACTTTTTGTTAAGCTCTACAAACTTTATGTTAGCTTATCTCATTTATAAACTTAATAAAACATTTATTATGCGATATCTTTTCGTAAGCACAACTGTAGCCCATTCACACATTACGTTTTATATTTATGCCCGAAACCCAATTTCAGTTCGCGTCTCTTTCGCATAGATGTGCGACTCGGTTGAGCCGTATTGTGCCCATTAATTTCGCACTAAACTACTAAAAACTGTTAATGACTGGCAATTGTTGTTTCGGGGATGGGGCACGGCTAAGCTGGTCTGGGCTGGGCTGGGCGGTTTGGCAAGGGGGCACGCCGGCTGTGCCGCATCATCATCAATGACCGATCAGCTGCTCCACTTGAAGCACTTTATGGGCAATTGTTGCTGACAGCCTGCTAATTGCCTTGTGGCGAGCAGCCAAAGACAACAATACGATTGGATCTAGCCATAGCCAGTGCTTAGCTGAGTCTCGATGTCGCTTTATCATTCCGACAAAAGGCAGCAAACATTTTCCTCGGGCCATGGCAATGAAAATAAAACTTTAAGCAGTTGCAAGTTGCACGCATGACGAATTATACACAGCGAGCAAAGCTTGGTTTAGATTGGAATGCAAAATAAAACAAGAATACTTAGTTTACAATACGAATAAACAGTAAAAAATGGTTAGAATAACTCGCCTGTTCCTCCTGATAAAGCATGGGTTTGGAGATGCTTCAGTGGAGATGCTACGTGTTACATAAATTGGCCCAAAAGAAGTATACCCTACTTTTGGTATAAAAATACTTAAATTAACCAAAACTAATTTGTTTTTAAGTACCATAAAATGCCTCACTTCATGGGTAATAATAGGAAAGATAGCTTGCTTTGCAGAAGACCAAAATACAGCATAAACTCGATGATAAGACAAAATTGTTTGCCATAAAAGACTAGGAGGATCTAAAGATAAGATAAAACCAGTCGCAAATATTAATTCAGTAGTTGGGCGTGTATTCTTCTTTAGATACTCTTAAAATTCCCTATGAGAATGGACTTGGAATTCATAATTCGTGCTCAGACCAAGAACTTACTGTTGATAAAGCTTAAACTGGATTTGTGTAGAAAATTCTCTATATTTTCTCACAGTGAGACTTGACCACACTTTTTCATTTGAGGGGACCACGCAACGATTTCAAATTGAAATTAGAATGCAACTAAAACAAAACAATTTAAATAAATTGGAAACTACGAGAAGCGCACAATGTAAATTTTGTGGGCAGTGGCGGGTTTAGAGCTAAATAATTTAGCAGCGACTGCAGAAGCGAAGGCAACAGTAGCTGAAGCGTCGGCAAATTAAATTAAATAGTTATATCATGCGAATAAATCGCCATGAATGTATCGCACATACGCCCCGTTGAGCGCAAAGCAACCGGACAGCTACTTACGAGCCGCGCACCAAGTGCTGGGCATCAGTACACGCTTTGCGCTCAGCGGCAGCAGATCGTCCATGTGAGAACGTGGTGCCTCCTCCTTACCCACGCGTGTGTCCGTGTCTGTGCTTGTGCGAAAACTAAACAGCGCACAAATATTTGTGCATATTAGAGAAACAGAGAGGAAAGCGACAGACAGAGAGAAAGGGAGAGACTTCCTGTCTGCGCTTCTAATTCCCCAGCGTATCAACACGCGTGCTGCAACGGCTACGACGCGGATTTGAACCAGCGCGCCAGCCAGAAACAACTCCAATCGACAACGACTCCAACAGCATCCGCTCCGGGTTTTTTTGTGATTTCTTTGTGTTTCTCATTTAACGAACTCCGGCATGCATACGCCGGCTGGTAAGGTGTCGGGCTATATTGTCCTGATGATTGTGCAAATAGTTTTTCTGGTGCTATTCTGGCTTTTCGTGCGTTACGAAAAGTCCGCCATGCCGTCGCAACTCGTCGCTGAAGACGCTGGATCAGCAAACGAACACGTTTCAAAATATCCGCGTGAGTAGCTATCATCATTTTCCATTGTTTCTATTGTGCCTCCTGTTGCTCCCAATGTCCTCGCCACCTTATTGTTTAGACGCATTCAGACGCAACACGTTAAAGTTACTGCATAATGTGAACACACGGTAAAACACAGGTGAGAGTGCTCTAAAAGAGATACCCTGTAGCCAGCACTCCATTGTCTGAGGTTAGGGAAAACCTTTGCCTGTAGTTCGATTGCAGTACTCAAAGATGACATTCAAATGTTTGTATAGAGTCAAGCCAAGAGTCAATGTTAGAGAATGAAGCTTAATATCAACTTGACCAGGAATATATATGCTCCAAGTGCCTCTACATGCCCTATATGCTATTTCCAGTTGATACAGCATATAAATAGTTAGTTTATTCAGAATGTCATTAAATATTATCATTTAATTGACAAGCAGCCGACTCAAAAGTAGGGGACAAACCATCGACTGACCGCTAATGACTGAGCCTAGTCCGGTCCGGGGGAGCTGTCAGTCAGTCAACGGGGCCAACAATATTAACTCCACTTGTCTTGAGGCGATTGCGTGTCATCTATGGCTGATAAGCTTTTATGGACAATTTCATAGAGACAACCAACTAAACTAGATAACTATTAATAGAAATATGTAACGCCAAGAATTTATGAGCAATCGAGCGTATCAGCAAGCCACAGAGTGAAAATCCGCACATGATATATAATTGGTATTAACTGCAAAAAATTACCCAGCGTTGCGCGAGTTGAAATGAATAATGTTAAAATTGGCAGTTGTATGAAAACTATTTGCAATTCGCGCCTTATATATATATTTTATTATGTATATATATATCAGAGCTCAAATTGATACCACGTGAATACCTATTTGCCTTCCTTAATAATATAGTTTTTTATATATGTTAGTTCACTTTTTGCTAAATATTTAAATAAATATATGTAATATTTTCTCTACTAACACCTTCTTTCTTAGTTGTAGGCTCTAAAAACATCACTGAAAAAATTAGCTGTTAAAAGGCGCAAAGCGGGGCTTGTATTCTAATTGGGCTTCTTGCATTTGATGTATAGAATAATTAGGAAGACACTCGTTTTTTCGATTAAAAATATATAATACCGATCCCATCATAAAGAAAAGTGCACTGATTTCTGCCGAATTCAAAGATCTCGTGGGAGAGATCTTTATCCCAAGCTGAGAAAGTCTTATTGCACTTAAAGCTAGACAAAGCAAGGCCTACACGTATCCTCCATCCTCCATCAATTCGAAATTTCGAAATGACTTTCGACTCATGTTTTGACATTCCTTCATTTCGTACTTTGTCAAAATCATCTGCTAGTCCCTGGACGAAAAATGCGTAGCATAAAAAACAATTTGAAATGTCAGCTTAATACGATATTTAAAAATTAATTACAACTAAAAGAAAGTGCAAGGCCCCAGCTTCAGTTAATCCTACATATTAAAATAGCTTTGGGTCTGTCAGATGCTATTACCCATGCCAATGTGAAGTCCGGGCTATTGGCGAATATGTTGTGAGTGGCATTTGGCAAGTGTTGGCATTTCATAAATAAATAAAGTTATTTTTCGCATAGTCTCCTTAAAGTCCCGCGGCAGCAATTGCATTAATTACTTTTGCCAGCCAGAAACCGAACGAGGCGCAGCGCTGCACACACAAATGAATAATTAAAGTCATTAATTTCAATTTATGCAAATGCGTCTGTAAACAACTTGTTGCAATTCATAATAAATAAATTAAAACGTATTTCACACTAATTGCACCCGCACACACATGCACATGATCGGCTACCGTTTGCCAGAGCCCGTGCCAGAGTCCGTGCCCGTGCCCCGTGTCCGTGCTTGTGCTCCGTGCTCTGGCTGGTGACATCAATCTCAATGCAATTGACTTTTGGCAGCAGACAATTGGGCAACTAATTGAAACGACTTGACTCAATTAATAAGCGTGCCAAGGCGCCGTCTCACTAAACGACCCTTGCTTTGTTACAGAATTTCAGGATGTCCAGGTCATGATATTCATTGGCTTTGGCTTTCTGATGACCTTTTTGCGCAAATACGGATATAGTGCCACGGGCTATACACTGTTCATGTCCGCTCTGGTGGTGCAGTGGTCCGTCCTGATGAAGGGTTTCCTGCACATGGAAGGCGGCAAGATCAGGTGAGTTTTCTGCAGCAGCAACAAATTTAAATGCTGTCTGCCAATCTGAATAATTGCCCATTAATTAAGTGCATTTGTGTGTGTGTGTGTGTGGGTGTGTGTGTGTGTGTATCGTCCCCCTGCCAAGCGCGCGCCAAACAAATAAGTTTAAGAAATTAAGAAAAATATCCTCAAGATGTAATGAATTCATGCAATTACTTTAACTTGAGTCGTGCCAGGCTGTACCGGGCGCAAGGCGGACGTACTTCAACAAAGTGCCACAGCAAACACGTCCAGGGCGCAACGGTCTTGTAAATAAAAATAAAAAAAACCCTTTAAGCTATTTGCTTTACATTCCATTTGCCGTATTGAGACTCTTCTTTCATTTCTTGCAGCCTTTCGCTGGAAAGCATCATCGATGCGGACATTGCCGCCGCCGTGCCGCTGATCAGCATGGGCGCACTTCTGGGCCGGACCACGCCCATTCAGCTGCTATGCATGTCCATCTTTGAGGTGGCCCTGTTCGCGGCCAATGAATACCTGGCCCTAAATGTACTCAGCGTAAGTGAAACAAGAAAGGAGATAACAGTTGTATCTTGAATATCTTAAAAATTGTTCGTATTGATATCTAAAAAGGTAGACCTTTTGTCAGGCGTAGCTTTTTCAACTAAACTATTGATACTGCTCAAGATCGTAGTCACATTTAGGAGATTCCCTATTTATGCTACAGTAAACTCCAAGTCAGAGAGAGGCGCCTCCAATATCCTTTAAATATCTCCTTTCCCTTAATTGTAAATATTATATAAGTTCAATACTTGTAACTATACCCTTTTCCCTCACTCATTTGATCGATTCCAGCTCAAAATAAAACATTAAAACATTAAAACAACACTCCAAATGAAACATATCAGATAAATACTATACCATTTGTCTGCCATTCCCAAATGGAAAATAAGCTTGAAAATGCGTGAACTATTCCGAAAAGGATTCGCCATGCTGCAATTACTAAACAATAGAATTTTCTAAAAATTTCTAACAAAACGTAGTTTTCTATAAACTTTAAGCTTTTTTCATCCAGTGGTTAATTTTTTTCACAAAATGTAAAACACGTTTCAAATTTAAAAAGTACTTTTTAAATGGGATTCCAAAAATGCCGAAAAATGTTTTAAAAATATCTGAAAATATTTCTAAAGATCCAGCCTGAATTTTCTAAAAAATATCGCATGGCTCTCCTTCCAAGGGTTACATATGTTGTTACAAAACCATAAGGCTCTCTGCAAGAGCATTAATTGAGTATAAATAGAGCCCTTATCTGCCGTCTAATCACCTGTAACTTCTCGACAGATCTGCGACTGTGGAGGCTCCATCACGGTGCACGCTTTTGGCGCCTACTTTGGCCTGGCTGTGGCCCTGATGCTGCGCCCTGCGAGTGACCAGAACGAGGCGGGCAAGCACGAGGGCGCGAACTATGCATCCGATATATTCGCTATGATCGGCACCACTTTTCTCTGGGTATACTGGCCCAGTTTTAACTCGGTGCTGGCAGCCGGATCCGGCGGCGAGCGCGCCATTTTGAACACGTTCCTCGCATTAGCCGCGGCAACAGGTGAGTCACGTGCCACTGCGATTCCGAGTCAGCAATTAGCTGGCTCAAGTGTCGGCCTACTATCTTGTAGTTATATATATTCGCGGCCCGGCTGCGTCAATTATAATGTTGGCGCAGCTATTAACTAAGGCGCCAGCCGCTAAAATTGAAAAGGTCCCAAGCTACGTTCAGGGGTCGGCGAGCTCTTCAAATCTTTATGCATGCAACTCACAAACTAATTAAATGTCAAATAGTTTCGTTAACACATTTGAAAATTTATTTTGAGCACGTAGCGCACATAAAAACCGTACAGCAAGAGCAGGAGCAACAGCCACTGGTCAGCCTGTGTTTATCCCTTTGGGTGGGTGTGTGTGTGTGTGTGTATGGGTCAACTATGTTTGACCATGGCCATGTCCTACACAACATATAGAAAATCTGCTAAAAGCAAAAACAAGCCGAGAGCCAGAGTCCAGGCTTGGGCTTGGGGGCGGCGCAGTCTCTGCTCTGGCTGTTGCCTTGGTTAATGTAAATAACAAAACACAAATTAAATGTATACAAAGGGCGCCCGGCAATGACTACAACAACAACAACAACAACAACACAAATGGAGCAACAGCAGCTGAGATAAGCCGAGCTGGGACTCTGGTCGAGTAGCCAGCCGAAGCCAGTGTCTGAAATTGTGGCTCTCTCTCTCTGGCGGCGACACTGGGGCGTCTGTGGCCAGAGCCTTGCCATGGATATTAAAGCCCTCACGTTACAGCAACACGGAGGCAACACCTAAACAGCGCAATAGACCATATGAGCACAAGTTAAAGAAAAAAACTACAAACAGACAGAACGCACTTGTAATACTCTTTAAAGGTATAGAAAAGTTGTCGACAAGTTAAGGCACTCTTAAAACCTTTACCCAGCGATGGATTTGTGAGCTTTGTTTTCCACATTTCAATTTTGGTTTGATTAAAAGGCTTACGTTCAATTTAGCCTAAATTTAAGACAAAAATCCATTTAAAAATTAGCTAACGCAAAAACAAATATCAAAAAATATATCCCAAGAAAGATTTCTAATCGAAAGCCTAGCGTTTTTAAAAGAAATATATTTCTTCTCAGTTTTAGATGCGTTTAATTTTTAGGCAACCAAAATGTTTTAGAATTTGGTTCACAGTTCAAAACAAGACGGGGTATTCTCCTGTTGACAGGAGGTTTTAAATCAGGTTTTAAATTAAAATTATTCAACATGCTGCATATTAAATAATATCCATTGCTCAAAAACTAAAAAATCGTTTAAAAAACAAGCCAATTTGATTTGATGTAGACAAAGAGCATTAAATATTCGCTATGCGCCATTGTAATGTTGAAAAAAGCTGGCTATAGCTGGCTATGAGCGTGGCAGGACATTTTATGCGGAAGGATGTGCGATTAGTTGAGTCAACGTGGGCCCTGGTATCCTCGTATCGCCCCTGGGCCGTATCCCACCGTTCAGTGGCTGGTTACTTGGCTCGCTAGTTGTTGCCTTAATTAAACTAAAGCTGGGGATTCAGTTCAATGCTGAAATTAGAGGCGTTCTGTGAGGAGTGTCCCCATGTGTCTGTGTGTGTGTGTGTGTGTGTGTGTGTGTGTATGCGGGTGCTGCGACATGCACAGCAGACGACGCCATTTGGTGTTCAAATGCGGCGCCAACAGCAAAATACGCCCCAGTTGTTGTTTTCACACCAAGTTCAAAACGAGCCTGGGCCCTGTCCAGCCCCGTCCTCTTCTGTCCCGCCTCCTCCCTGCCAGTTCAAGTCCTGGTCCGAGTTCTGGTCAGTCCGTGTCGCCCGTCGCCCGCATTGGGCAACAACGTTAAGCACAAAACACATTTTATAGTCACAAGTGACACCATTGGCGTTAATTTAAATTGTTAAATATGCTGGCAACAACAACAACAGTCGACAGTGCCCGACTAGGGCATACCCTGTAAATAGATTCGAGCTGCTATATTTATTCCTCTCTGATTTTAGAAAATTGTAAATACCTTAAAAGAAGTAAACTACACCGGATTTCTGTGTGCTTTACAACAGTCTACAGTGCTCGACTAGGGCCTACCCTGTAAACTGCTTTAAGCTGCATACATAATTCACTCTTATTGTACAAAATTTTAAATGCCCCTAAAAACTACATGCTCTGTTTTTAAACAATTATACTTTAAAAATTATTATTTCCAGTTTTTAAAGTCTTCGATCCGTCTGAGTTAAGATATGTATCATTTGCAGAGTGGTAGATGGCGCCTTTTTGGCTGTCACATACCGAGGCCCGCAGAAACATACCCGATTGCTGTACATTTTTAATGGGTGTTGAGTTTAACAACAAGCTAGAAACAACTGACGCCCCAAATCTCGACTTGGCTCTGGTTTAACTTTGCTTCGCCCACTTCCCCGCACAGCCTGCGACCGGCAGTAAAAATACTGTTTAATTGATTTTTAAGCCAGAATTTGCAGTACTCGTAATTCTGTGTCGCCTGGACATTGTCAAAAGCTGCTTCTAAAACTGTTGCGGTTCCGATTGTTCTTGTTATTATTGTTGTTGTTGTTGTTGTTGTTGCTGCTCCGGCTGTGATTTGCTTTTGCAGTTGCCACAGAAACCGAGCGGTGTCCCGTATTAACTAATTTATGCAAATTATTATTGCTGCAACATATGTTTCGCCATAAAATGAAGATTTTTAAGTATTTAGTGTTATTTTTGCGGAGATTTATGTTTGCCAGTCTAATAAACAAGAAGTGTGCCCCATTGCTGTTGTTGCCTGGGCGACAGCCGGACACAGGACGAGGACGCGGACGAGGACGGGCACGGGGACTGGTCCGTTGCCTTGTTTACATTTTTATTAGTTTTGTGTTTATGAACTGCGGTTGTGGCATCGGGCATTGTGGCTCGTGATTTCCATTTGCTTCGCTTGGATGATTTAAGAGAGAGTCCTGTCGTTACCAAAATGGAGCTCAGCTAGAGATGGACACTGAATGCATTTTGAGCAAACGACAAGAAATATCT